AAACCCAAAAACAACCCCAAAAAACCAAAACAAGCTTGTCAGTGTTTATGTCTGTAATTACTGGGCTTTTGTGACACTACAGACTCCCATTTAGGGCTAGCTGGTGATACAAAATGAAATCTTTATTTTAGTAGGGGTAGAAGCAATCCACTCTATCTACTAATGCTGTAAGGCATCTTTCAATAGGCAGTTGATTTCAAGCTGTAACCGAAGCATTTTGTATTCTGTGTATGCTTTGAGCAACAATCATCAACAGGATCCAGGTATAAAAATTCAGTTCACATTATCAGCAGGTAGAGAAAAGGACTTTTGTTTCCTCTGCAGGCGAGGCTGCAACAAGACAGTAAAAGAATTCTTTTGAACAAAGGACTCCTCATGTGTTTTGAGAAGTGAAGCAAAAATGAATAATTGTTTTTCATTCTTCTTCAAAAGCATAATAATTTTGTAAATTCAATAAGAATGTCTTTACTGGTTTTTACTATTTTTTTAAATCTACTTGGCTCTAACTATCCTCTGAATAAATATTTCATTTGCATTCTTACTTGCTCATGAAACATCTTGCTATCTTTTGCATAATAAGAAAAACTTATCACTAGAAATCTTTTTCTTCTAAAGGCTGGAGACTGCATTCTTTTACATGGAAAAGCTCTTCTCTACAGAGACTTGCAATGCAATTTATGCTGAATTCACTGCCTTACATTCTTCAAGGATTCATCTGTTGAAATATATATAAGATTACAAGTGTTTCATAAAACGATGTTGTGCAGATTATTTATTGGTGTAGAACTGAATTTTAAACATTAATATCTCACTTAATATTGCAGTCTTACAGCAATGATAGGTGAGACATTTTATGATTAAATGGTCTTGAAAATACATGTCTCTGTCCTTAAAGTCAGACTCAGTAGGTTACTTGTACTCAGTCAGTAGGTTACAGCGCGTTCAACATACACTACGAGGAAGCACCTGGAAGAAAACTATTTAGAAATTATAGTCCATATTCACTGAACTTTGTTAACTGTACTGCCCACTCACTCTTGGCCAATAGAAATAGCAAAAAACCAAACCAAACCAAAACAAAACCACCTTGCTTTACATTGAATTGTATTTAGCGTTATGAAAATGTAAATCACGCTTTGTAAAGTGATTTGGAATTTTTCTAAAATAAATATAAGAACATTGTATTGCTCTTATCAATAACCACATAAGAGCATTCTAAGCAGTGTGGGAAGATGTTGATGTGCTCCCACACAGAATTGCTGATGACAGCTTTATGAGGGCCAAAGTTTCCGGTTCAGGACAGCAAATTTAATGCTTTACTTGGTTTGAAGGCTACATACAAGCAATCTAAGAGACAAAACCAGAACTGGTAGTGCCTCTCCTTCTGCTGGCCTGTGCTAAGATTAAATCCAGAAGAGATGAGATACAGTAGAGATTCTGTTCTAGTGCTTTTGGTCCCAAGATGAAATGAATGTATATTATATATGAAGAGAGCTATTTTAAATCTTGTGAAAAATCACTTTTGCATACTTGTTTCAATACATAACATGTTATAACCTTTTCTGACAGTAGCTGGTGTAGAATACATGTATAGCCAGAAAAACAAAGACTGAAGTTTTTCAATTGTTTTATCATTATTTTATTATGTTCGAATTTTTTGCAAAAATTAAAGAAAAGAAGACTATATGAAATAATTGAAGCATTTCACCATTAGGAAATTAAATTAGAGGATCAAAAGAACCACAGCAGTGACAAACAGCAATTGCAGATATATTAAAAATAGATGATGATGCAAGGAACTGCAGCTTACAAAGTTCCCTCTGCTTCAGCAAATATGGTCTAACACAATCTTGCTTACATATGTGCATCAAGATAGGTCTTCCGTTGTTGGACTTCTACCTATCACCAGTTTACGCAGAGACAAAGTCAATTGACCTTATGGAACCAACACCAGAGAAGCTATATAGAAAGGTGTTGTGGAGAAAGAGAAAGTCTCAGCTTTGATCAGGAACATGGGGAAGGCAGACAGCATATATCTTTCATTGAACTATAAATAAATAAATAATGAGATCAGCGAAGGTCCATGGATTTCATGGAATCACAGAATCATAGAGTGGTTTGGCTTGGAAGGGACCTTTAAACACCATCTAGTCCACTGTCTTGAATAAATGTAAATTTAAAAGTAACCAAAAGAGAATTCTTGCTCTTCTTACAGGTTCCTGGAGTTCAGTTCACAGGTCCAATACTTTGAATAAGCATTAATTTTACAGAAAGGATCACTGAGAGTACCCGATAGATGTTAGCAAACATACTTATGTGATACAGTATTTATATGGCAGAAGGAAAAAAAGCAAAGTGAAGCGTCATGTTAAATAAAACCTGAAAATACAAAATGAAAGAACTGGGGTACGTGAGAAAGAAAGAGAACAAAGAGAGACAAATGGCTTAATTCAAAGAAGGTATATATTTAAACCAAGATTGTGATGAGTCTGCAAATGAACAGAAGAACCTTAAACGAGAGAAGAATGCGGATGATATGAAAAGGCAAGGATAAATCAAAGGACTTGCAAACATAGTGACAGCAGCACAAAAAAGAAAAGCAATAAATAAATATTTCAGAACCAAAAGAACATCAAACTTTCCCACCCACACAGCCAGTCTGAATTAAAATGCAACTAAGGTGTAGAATTGTCAGCAGAAATCTAAAAGCTAAAAGATCCTAAAGGAATTAAAGGTACATCAAACACTCAGGGAAGGGAAGTAGATTCATTCACTGAACTGTAAAGGTCATCATTTTACAAGTTGTCAAAAGAGGAAATCATAAAATTGTAAATCCAGGTGTTTCTCAAGAATTCCACTGATGTTCAAGCACCTGGTAAAACTTCTGCAAAACTCAGTACCTTTTTCCAGGAAAATGTAAGGATTTCAGTTTCAAAACGGTGCCACACTGGGCACTCTAGACATATACCCATCAACTCCCCTTTTTTTTTTCAACCTTATCATTAAACTCCAAAGTTAGGTTGAAACATTTCTAATTTAACTGACAAACAGGAATGTGGAAATCCTTCCCTTTGGGAGAGTAGGCCATCTGAAAGCCTTAGTGACTTCTAAGCACCCACAGAAAGCTAACCAACCTAAGACTGTAAGTACAGTTAAGTAGGAACAAGGAACTTCTGAGGATCACTGCCTCTCTAGTTCCTATGCTTCCCACCACTCTGGTTACATATCCTTCCTGTCTTCTGACTGCAGTAAAGCAATCAGGGGAATGGAAATATAAAAATGCCCTAAGTTTCCTAAATATCTTTCTAATTAAAGTAATAACCTGAAAAATGAGCCTAATGCTGTTTGAAGATAAATGATTTAAGGAAATAAACTAAGTGGTCTTGCATCCACAGTGTTCATTCAGTCTCTGGGAAAATTTTTGGAATCTTAGAGTATAGTAAAAGTTGAGCAGAGGTTAACAAAAATCTGAATTTTTATGTAGAAAAGATTAAAAAATATATTAATTGGGGATAGCATAAGTTTTGCTGCAGAAATCTGCAAGGTTATATTGTTCCAATATGAACAAGGACAACTTATGCTTAAAAGTGTATGCTTTCTATATATTCTAGGAAGACACCTACAGTGAACCACAGCCAACAAACATGCTAACAATATGACTTGCCCTGTTTGTACTACAAAGTATATATATTATTATGCTAGTTTAAAAAAGGGCTGCTTGATCAAGTTTACATGCTGTTTAATAAAAAATCCATTCCCCCATTTTCCCAGCAAGCAAAAGACCTATAGCAATGGAAAAGAAACATAGCAGAGATAATTGTGAAATATCTGGAAATATGGGAATGACTATGTAAACACAGAAACACATCTGAGCTCAGACTGGTAACAGCTTTTAAGACAGGACTGTGCAAACTCAAGTAATTAGGTAGCTCACTAAATTTTTGAATTTATCAATACCTAGGTGCACCCCATCTTGCAATATCAAGGATATTTATCCTTGATACGTAGGATATCCTATCTTACCTCCTTTTTTCCCCCTCTATCTCCAGGTCCAACTGTAGTTAAATGCCTCTGACTCCTATTTTCTATGTACCCTTCCTTAGCCTGCCAGCAGCGTGTTACACCTGGAGTGAAAGCCGCACGTACGCTGACGAGTGGCTGCACGACGGGAAGGCATCCTGACCGACCAGGCAGCACATCCTGCTCCCCCCTGGCTGAGTCAGGTACACAAATCACTGCACAAATCACTGCATACCTGCACTTTAGCTGGGCCTGACCAAAGGGAACCAGAAACTAACACAGTTCTGAGTGGGTTAAAAATCTCAGCAGAGCAGTAGGGTAACAGAGCACACAGTGCGCTGTGAAGCCAGCTCTGCTGGTACCAGTAGCCATCAGTACTGGTTTAAAGGTGGTATGACTACTTCCTAAATACATTCCCTGTTGTACTCAGCAAAAACATTATGATTCTCTGATTTTATTGTTTTCAGCTATGATTACAGTGTTATCTTTTATAAGAGCTGAAAAAATACTCTTTCACATGACAATTTTCATCTCAAATACTTATTAAATTCCCAATTCCAATACTTCTTAGTAAAACATTATCTGTTAAATTTCTCCCATCCTGCCTCAAATGTTCAGGTTTCAGACCTTTGGCAGTGCTGTTATTCCACCGTGAAGTTTTAAAGGGTATATCAAACACAAATGTCTGTCAAAAAAATCAAATAAACAGTTCTTCACATTTAACAGAAAAACACTTTTGTGCTATATTTAGCATTTTATAAAAGCAACAAGGAAATTCAAACATTGATTTTTTTCCTCCATTGGTAATTTTTGTGGTTAAATATGCATTACCCATAAAACTCATTTTGTGTCTGTTGGAAAAACACACATTTAGGTTCCACTAATTTTTCATCAGGAAAACACTATAAAATTCATAATAATAAATTATAAATTAGAAGGATTTCTACTGAACCTAGAAGAGTAAATTTAGACAGCAATACCTGAAACAACACCAATTCCATCTTCACAGTCATAATCAGAGACTTCACTGTCGCTGATTCTTTTGGACCCTGCCAAAAAAAAAAAATTGAAAAAATCAGAAATGTAACATTTATCTTCCTGTAAGTTAAAACTATCCTCAGTCAATAATGCATAGTATAAGGAAAATTACCAATGTTCTGTTATTGCAAATATTAGTGTACCAACTGTTTTAATCTAAATATTCAATGTATATAATGAAATGTTGAAATACAGCTCCACAACATTAATTTTATGAAATATCTTCATATACTTCTTATTTATATGTATTCGTTCCACACAGAAACTGGCATGATACTGTTCATCTTCCAAGTTTTCATGTACAAGGCACCATCCCTCCCAAAAGTTTTTGAACACCAAAAAGATTAATGATAGCAATAATATTAAACAGATGTAATATTTTCTGTAGGGCACTAGGAAGCATTATATGAAGAGGCAGCATCACACATATAGTGTGCCCTGAGAAGCAAAATATCTCTGTGATACTTTAGAGGAAAAAAGCTATTAAATGCTCTACAAGAGTACACCTGTCAGAATAGCTCAGGCTTAGTTGGCAAAAGCAGATTCCACATCCACAATTAAAAGACAAAATGTAGGTCACGAAGGACAAAAATATATGTCAGTTTGTGTTTAGCTTAATTTTACTTCTGTCTTCTGTGGCATCTTTTAAAGAGCATTTGATCGCTGACATCAGGATTAAGCCTTGGCATGTGAATAACAATTATTCATTTATTTGTTCTACATATGAAAATCCTGTTCTTCAGCAAGATGGTGTATCCTATTTAACCTACTAGTTAAATAGGTAACTAGTAGGTAGGAAATTTAATCTAATTGTCACCAAGCCTTCAATCATGTGCGAGATTTTTTTATTTCTACCACAGGATGATTTATTCTGAAAAACATGCACAAAAATTACCAGTAAAAGCTGGGAGTAAACTTAAAGAAGCCCAGGACAAAGCAGGATTAATGTTGTTTCTGAATGACTGGCACAGAAGGATCCTGCCTGTCCCAACAGAAAACTGGGAGAACAAGTGCCAAGGGGATTTTTGACAAAAATAAAATAAAAAAAATTTAAAATAAATTTTACAAATTATTTCAATCATACAAAGTGCCATCATCTGTCAGACTGTCTAACATCTGTCTACCCAGCAGGGGACAGTGGAAGGTGCTTCTTTCGCTGAGTCTGCTTACAAGGTCTGTATAGAAAAAAGTTTTCTCTGTTGTGCCCTTCTAGCTTTCATCAGGCGGGGGTCCTGGCAACTGAGACTTCTCCTAAGCCATCCTGTTTATCATGTCATTAATCAACCCATTATCCACAAACTCATATATTTTCTTTTTGAGTCAGGGTATACTCTTGGTCTCTATAACATGCTATGTCAGTAAATTCTGCAGTTTAATTCTGCCTTGTGTGAAATAGATTTCTCTCTATTTTCTTTCTATTACACTACTTCAGACAACGTCCTCCAAGCTTCTGCATTCTGAGAAACATGAATCAGCATTCTGGTTTCTCCCGCAGCCATCTCTTTTTGAGCTGAAATACTATTTAGTTCCTTTGCATGTGCAAACCATTCCATATTTCTGATTGTTCCTGCTGTATTTGTTTGTATACTTTCTATCTCTTCTGTGTCTGCTGTAAGAATTCAGAAGTGATTGCAGCAATCAAGATGTGGGTGTATGAATTTATATACCAGACAGCAGACTATTTCTTTTGGGATAAAAATTGCTCTGTTAAAAATTATTCAACTACAAAATAGCATAAATGTGATATGCTTTAATTCTTAGGAAACACAATATAGTCTGGCATTACATTATACACCTCCAGTAGAGCAATGTTAATCATTGTTATTTAGTTGCAGTAAAAGCTGGGGGTTTTTCCCTCACAAATAGGAAATGAAAATTAGTACAAGGAAAGCCATGCTTTGGTTTCCTACGCCCTGCAATTCTGACATGGTAGAATCATTAGTTCATTTATTCTAAAAGCTTAGAAATGGCCATGCTAAAATGGGGAGAGGGAAAGGTGTCGTTGATTTCAAAAAATAATAAGTATTTTTTTAAAACAAGACACAGTAAACAAGTGATCGCAATTAGTACTCAAGAAAACCTAGAAGATGAGGGAAAGAGTTAAGGAAGTTTTCAGCCTCTTAACGGATTTTCTGAGAACCAGAATTTCTAAAAGCAATTCAGTCTGACAAAGGACAACATTCAGTGTGATTACTTTCTTAATTATAGTTTCACAGAGGACCAGTGAAAATCTCTCTTGCTTCCCAAAGAAAGAGCATCCATCCCACCTGTGATGCTGTTCCTGCTGCCATTTTCAGCAGAGCCACTGGTGTGGTGATTTACATGTCAATGAGCAAGAAGGATTAGTCTCCATTGTCCTTAGCCACTAATTCAAAACCAGGCCATTAAATAAGGACAAATTTTGTGACCAAACAGTAAGCAAGAGAGCCGTACTAGTCTGGCTGGAATTTGGCTGGGATCTAAAAGGCAGAAGCTCCCTAAGGGAGTTCACAGCAGCGTGATTCTGGCCTCTGGTAACCCTGGTATTGATACCGCGGCTGCTGGGCAGAGATGCCAATAACATCACTCAGGGTCTCAGAGTCAGAGGATTGTGGAACGGGAAGCGGGTGGCAATTAAACACTTTGCTGATGGTCATCACATGGATGCTTGGAAAGGTTTCTATCATGGAAGACGTAAGAGGGCTGAATCAACTGTGATTTGAATGAATGTAATTTACTCATCATCTAATTCATCCTTATGAATGAATCTAATTAATTACAACTGAGGTTGCTTTTTATTTATGTTTATATTTACAGCTAAGTACATCTGCTTTAAGATATTTTTAGAATATTATATTCTGTATTCTGGAGAAAAGATTTGCATCTCTGAGCATGAAAATAGCCAGCTGTTTTCACAGTGGGCTCTAGACTTCCCAGTTCTATAGCTAAAATTATATGTTGTAGTAGTCACAGGATACATCTAGCATAAAAGAGAGACTAACAAGCTTCAACAGATCACAGAATCATAGAATGGTTTGGGTTGGAAGGGACCTTAAAGATCACCTCGTTCCAACCCCCCTGCCATGGGCAGAGACACCTCCCACCAGACCAGGTTGCTCAAAGCCCCATCCAGCCTGGCCTTGAACACCTCCAGGGATGGGGCATCCACAGCTTCTCTGGCCAACCAGATCCAGTGTATCACCACCCACACAGCAAAGAATTTCTTCCTAATATCTAACCTAAATTTCCCCTCTTACAGTTTAAAACTGTTCCCCCTTGTCCTATCGCCATACTCCCTGATAAAGAGTCCCTCTCTATCTTTTCTGTATGCCTCCTTTAGGTCCTGGAAGGCTGCTATAAGGTCTCCCTGGAGCCTTCTCTTCTGCAGGCTGAACAGCCCCAACTCTCTCAGCCTGTCTTCATAGGAGAGGTGCTCCAGCTCTCTAATCATCTTCATGGGCCTCTGCTGGACCTATTCCGACACGTGTATGTCCTTCCTGGGCTGATACCACAGGTATAACAGGCAGGAGTCTCTTTTTGCCCCTTCAAACCTCACCCAGCTTTTCCAAAATCTCTGAATACCTCAACTCCAAATCACCTTCCAGGATCTAGGGACTCTTTTCTCTTTTTATATACAGCCCTCTGTTTTCACTCCCATCCAAGCTGCAGGGAAGAGCTGGGGCATGGGGAAAGTGAACTGACGAAGACTGAGACCTACACTAAGAATGAGATTAGAGAAAAAGTAGAGTCAAGGACAGAATCACATATCAGGACTTTCTCCAGCTGCCTTTGCTCCTGCAAGAGGAGAGTGTCTTCTAATAGCTGACAACCCTTGAATGCAAAAACTTTTTCTCTAAGGTGAGATATGAAGCTTGTTCAGGTCATCTATTCTATCTCCTCAAGCAGAGGCTACCTTAAGCCAAATGTAACTACTAACTTAAAAAAACTGAAAAATAATCATGTTTAAGGAATATTTCACATTTACTTATAAATGTAAATCTAAATGCTGGATAAGAGGTCAGATGAAACTTAAACCAGAATTAACTACTTGGTTTTATCTTTGGAAATCAATGTTTTCAGAAAGGTTTTCAGTGGTTCTCAGTGACAGGACAAGGGGCAACAAGCACAAACTTGAACATAGGAAGTTCCATCTAAGCATGAGGAGGAACTTCTTTACTTTGAGGGTGGCAGAGCCCTGGAACAGGCTGCCCAGGGAGGTGGTGGAGTCTCTGTCTCTGGAGATATTAACAACCTGCCTGGATGAGATCCTGTGCAACCTGCTCTAGGTGAACCTGCTCTGGCAGGGGGGTTGGACTACATTATCTAGAGTGGCCCCTTCCAACCCCTACCATTCTGTGATTCTGTGACTGTGATTCTGTGAAAGCATGTCAATTGAATATGTAATTTCAAGTACTGCCTGCAATATGTAACTGCTGCAAAGGAATCAGATTATATTTATTTAAAATGTCTTCCATTAATTTCAGAAATGGACCTGACTAGAAAGTGCATGGGTCAAAATTCTTACTTAACTGAGTATTTGAAATGCCAGTATAATTGCTGGCAGCTTAGTTTAATATTTCTTATAATATTTGAAAGAGTAATTTAATCTGTTCTATATTAATTTTAGATATTCATTTTCTTTTTAACCTTTTGACCATGTAAATTTGAAGTTTTAGGCTTCAGTCCCACCTTAGCCACATCTTTTCAAAATACCACTTCATTTTGTAAGTAATCTGAACTGACCATAAAACAGAGAAAGAACGATTCATAGTTTATCTGGGAAATGTGACAACGAAGCCTTTGACAAATTATCCCAAAGAAATATTGCTAATGAAACTGTTCTTCAGTATTTTAATGAATAAATTCAAGTGTTTCACAAATACATTATAAAATATGGTACTTATTTCAAGAGCTGGAAGATTAAATCCATTCTAAGATAAATTCAAAATTCAGTAAAAAGTATGTAACACCCAGGACACTGGGTGCATCAAATAAATGCATTGGTGCCAATGGTTTGCATATAATTAACTTT